CATAGTTGAGGTATACCTATGATGAAAATTACAGGCCTCTCTCATCTTTTTAAGTGGGAGAACTTGCACAATTGGTGGCTGACTAAATACTTTTTTGCCCCACTGTATATAATTTCCTGTCCTTTTTCTCTTTTTCTTTTTTGTACTTGCTAGGTATTTTGTAGAAAGCACCCATCCTGAAGTCATTCAACAACTTCTTCAGGACCAAGTTATTAGGGAGTGTCGCCTGAGAAATGCAGAGGGGGAAGAAACTGAGCTCATAACAGAAACGTTCAAGAGCAAATCAGCAGTACGTTGAAATTATGGGCTCTGCCTTTATGTAGTGTGGTAGCTATTTGCTTTACTCTGTAACTATAGCTGAACAATTGTCAATTCTAGTTTCTCTTTATTTTATAAGAACCCCTTTTCAACATTATGAACATGCCACATCTTTTTGTGTCTGTTGTCACCACTGTTAATCCTTAGAGTTGGGTTGATTTATTTACAGTTTATTGTATCTGTACAGTCTGTTGTTTAGCTGTGCTTTCATACATTCTATAAGTGTTCTTTGCCTATCCCAGTGATGAAATACAAGCCTCTGTCTGGCCTCATCTTTCTCTAAGCAGTTGAGAAATCTATCTGTTTTAGATTTTGAAGTCTGGTGAAAACAGCAGCTGTCCTTCAACTTCACAAGGGGCAGATGCTCAGAATAAACCAGATGTTCCTGCTGACTTATTTGAATTTTATGAGCAAATGGACAAAGATGAAGAAGAGGAAGAGGAAACTCAAACAGTATCTTTTGAAGTGAAGCAGGTAAATGCATGAATTTACTGATACCTCACTATCCTAATCAAAGCATATGGAATATGAGCTATTTATAAAATAATAAAACATTTTTGATGGGATGAGATGTTAGACAATTTAAATATTTTTTCCTTAAGTACTTTTGTGTCTCTAGGCTTAGTCCTCCTTTAAATTTTAACTTCAGGCTACAGCTAAAACCTGTCTTAGTAGTGTTGTATAATCATAGCATATGTCTATTAATCAAAAAGACTCTAGTTTCTGTGGTGATGTGAAAATTGAAGGCAGCAGATTTATGGAATGGAGTGAAAGTATGTTTATAGTGTATAACTCAGTTTAACAAAGTAAAGTATATTTAGTTATTCCTGTGGTTTTTATGCTGATCTGGCTGACTCTAAGCAGCTCACAAAAGATAGTATGGCTGGCTTCCGGGTGAGGTTCCATGGTGAACCAGACATCCCTGAAGGAGCAGGAATGGCATTGCAGTGGAGATCAGTGGCCAGACAGTGAATTCTGTGAGAGATCACGAGATCACCTACCTGTACTCCGGACAGCTGCTTCTTGTGAGTAGACTACAGGAACTGAGGTTTTTGTGGTCGACTTGTGAATCGAGCAGCTGGGAGTTGAGAGATTTCAATCAGGCTCACAACTGCAATGCAGTGTGTAATGGACATAAGGTTCGCAAAAGTCTCACTTTCTTAACCACTATTGGATGTAATCAATTACAGTTATTTATTTATATTTCAAATTTGTCACTGCCCATCTCACTGTAGAGCTGGGAAGTTTTCAGTAAAAAGAATAAATATTAATTAAAATCATTAAAATACAAGATTCCTATATAAAGTTAGAGAGATCTACTGATCGGCAGGATCAGACAAAACCACTTGGTGAGTCAATATTTGTTCTGGCTTGAAGAAGGAAGAAAAAATAAGTTTTAAAGGATTTAAATCTCTAGCAAAAAGCTTAACAAGGAGCAGATGTGAGAAGGTTTAAATGGATAAAGGGGACAGTAATTTTGGTGGAAGTGCTTTTGAAAATATTGGAAAGAGAATTCTGCTTGAGATTCAGAGCAATTCCAAAAGATTTTGGTGAAGATATTAGAGAAAAGGTTATTAAAGCCTTAGAGTTTTTGGAATAGGATGAAGAGGATATAGAGGCAGAAGTTGATTTATAGTTTATAGAATAAATACAAGATCTGCAAAATTAAGAAACATTCCAATGGATGTCCTGGCGCACTTTGTCAGGAAAAAGACAAGAGACCAAGTTCTGCAGCAGCATTTTAATACAAGACTGAAGTTTGCTAATACAGATGTAACTC